ACTAATAAGTATGTTAAAAACTGTTAATTTAATAATAGATGTGTGGTTAACAATGGGAATTATTAATTTTTATTGAGAATTAAAATATCTAACTGTTTCATGAGATCTTTCACCTTTTCTGAATTTACGTAACCTTTTTTTTACTGTCCTTTCCTCATCATTCTTCACGATAATTTCCATTTGAAGTTTTTCATTTTCTTTAATAATTTCTTTTTCTTTTTCAATGTAGATTTTTTTTTCTCTAATTCTTCCAGCTCTTTCCATGTAATCCAGTAATGAGATTTGAATATTTCTTCAAATTCAGTGATAGTGCTTCTAGGTGTTTCATTATATGTGGAAATCATCATTTTCAATATTCCTTTTATTGGAGATACATGTCTTTTATAGTAATAAATAATTTTTATATCCTTCTGTGTCGCATCTTCTATTTTCTTCAAACGTTTCTGATCAATATGCCATAGTAATTTAGCAAAACATCCATACATATTTTCCGGCGATTTATAATCCTCTTGCTTCGCGAACTCCTCATCCTTTGCATTCTTCCACTGTTTCCAGGTTTCAATCTCTTCTAGAATTTTTTCGTTAATTAAACTTTCTTTGCATCTCTTCTTCTTTACCCACAATAATAAGTTCAGCATTTCTTGACTATCTCTTATTAATAATTCTTTGAACTTATTCTTCTTGTCCTTTATCCATTCAATATCCTCTTTAATCAAATTTGGCTTACCATTTAATTTATTATTATTTTTTTTTTTTTTTTTTTTTTTTTTTTTTTTTTTAATTTAAATTTTTTTTTTTATTTTTTATTTTATTTCAAAATATATAAATATTTTTGTTCTAATTTTATTTTTAGATATCCTGAAAATATTTTAAAATTGTATAACTTTTAACAATTTTAAAAATGGTTATGTGAAAAAAATTTTAAATATATAATGCATGGATACATTTATATTATAAAGAAATTATATAAATATTTATATTAATAATAAAGCATATAAATTTATTATATTTTAAGATTTATAAATATATTAAAAATATTTTAATAAAATATTATATATGAATAAGATTAATCAATTAAAAAATTAATGTTATTCTTTTTATTTTCAATAAATATAATCATTGATAAGTACATATTCTATATATATAATATTTTTAATTTAATTTTTATTATTCTTTAAATTATTATTCTTTAAATAGATACACAAAAATTATTTTATTCTATAAAATTTTATTTTTTGAATAAATAAAATAAACAGTTTAATGTGTTTAACACAATAAAATAATAAATGTTTATTAATTTTTAAAGGGAATTTTTTTAAATATATTTTTTAATAGTTTTTTTTTTTATATATGTTAAAACGAGGAATTTTAATTTATTTAATACTTACAAATTTTTTTTTTTTTTTTTTTTTTTTTTTTTTTTTTTTTTTTTTTTTTTTTTTTTTTTTTTTTTTTTTTTTAATTATTATTATTATTATTATATATATATATATATATAATAAAAAAAATATAGTATATAATATCTTTTCTATAAATTAATTTTTGCTGGATGAAAAATAATTATAATTTGAAAAAATTTTAATTAATATTTTTTTTATTTTATATCTTTTAATATAATTTTTTATTTTTTATCTATTTTTCTTTTTCATTAATTTATATATTTTTCCTTTTTTATATAAGTTTATTTTTCTATATTATTATGTGTGTGCGTTATAGCGAAAAAAAAAAAAAAAAAAAAAAAAAAAAAAAAAAAAACACAATTTTTATAAAAAAAAATAACTTGTTTATTTTCCCTCTTTTATGATATTTTTTTAAAGTTGAAATATCTTCAATAACAAAATTTTCCTCTGTATGAGAATTGCATCTCGAATTTAAAATAAAATTTGAATTAATATAATCTCTCATGTTTATTATCTTTTATTTAAGAAGTGAAATATGTTTTTAATAAGAAATAAGTTTTTATAGTTACTTTTTTATTTTTATATAAGTTTTTATATATTTTTAGATATAATTAATATTCCTAATTTATTAAAAAATAAAATAATTAAAATATAAAAAGTAAAAATAATATATATTAAAAAATTCAAGAAAAAAAGTTTCTATAAAGATATTTTGCTTTAATTTTTATTATAAAATTTTGTAAATATGTTATGTACAAATATTATTAAAATATAATCAATTAATAAAATGTTACATATATACACTGTATCTAAGATTAATAATTGAGCATTTCCTCTCATTTTTTTCAAACAGAAAACTCCAAAAATACAAATTATGCATTTATCTTCAAAAAAAAAAAAAAAAAGAAGCAGAGGATAAAATAAAAAAAAATTAATAATAATATTTGCACAATTAAAAATACCCGTTATTGTAAAATAATATTTTGGTGTTTAATTCTACAATTGTATAATTTGATTCTGACAATAATAATAAAAAAAAAAAAAAATGGAAAAATAATTTTGTTATAATTTAAATTATAAATTTGGAAATAACAATAGTATATGTAGACCTTTATGTCATAACACTTAAATTTTAAAAATAATTAATGGCATCTTTTGTTTTATGCTAATTATAATGAATTCTAGATTTTTATTTCATTATAATTTAACATTATAGTGATATATAATGAAATAAATTTTAGTTATAGAAAAAAAATTAAAATTAAAAATTTATGCATGCATTATTTTATTTTTTAATTTGCAGTATAATATACGAAATACTTTAAAAATAAGAAATATTTATAAAAATAAGTAAAAAAAGGATAATATGAAAGAAGTACATGCATTTATAATAAAAATCATGAATATATACTATATTATATTATTTATTTTGGGAATATAATTAATAATAATTTTAATTTTATTCCATTAATATAGTGATGTCACTATATTTTTCATATATTTTAATTATAGTAAAAAATTATAATTTAATTTTCAATTGATTACATGCATCTGTTTTATTATAAAAAATAAAATAACATTTTAATAAAAATAAATAAATTAATAGTAATTATTATCAGTTATTTATTAATGATTCATCAAAAATAACTATGTAAATGTAAAAAAAAATGTATATATGTTATAAAGTTAATTTAAATGTCATTGATGATATAACTTTCATATTTTAATTATAACGATAATTTACTTAATATTAAATATAATCAAATGACGTTCAACCTATTTTATTAATATAATAAAAGAAAAAGAAAATTTTCAATTCATTTAAAGAAATGTAATATATAAAATTCTAATAACAATTCATATAAAAAAAAATTCTAAAATTATATTCTTAGTTAAAAAATGTGCTATTCATCTTTTTAAATATCTTAATTTTAATATAATGCAGATAATCAATATGCATGCAAAATATTTAAGAAAATACCTTATCAATCTAACTAAAAATACTATCGCTCAGTTATATATATAATATAAAAAATTTTTTAATTTTTTTCCTTGAATATTGTTTTATTTTTTTAGTGTTGATATAGTTAATAATTTTTTTTTTTCTTTTTACTAATTTTTTTTTATGGATAATTGAATTTAATTTGAAAAAATTTAATTATCATCTATTTTTGATGAATAATTATTTTTTCCCATTTGTTGATTAAGTACTTATTTTATGGAGAATTGTTAATTTATTTTAACATAGATTATTTTATATATATTTATGGATATTTATATTGAGAATTTAAATTTCATTTAAATTGAGAATTTTTTCTTAAATTAGATAAATACATCTTATAAAATAATTAATGCTTTCAGAATAATAAAAGTGTGTTAGCTTATAACTATTTATTTTATTTTATATAATTTAATTATATAATATTACTTATTTTTAAAGAAAATATTGATATGATTAACAAAACAAATAGTACAACTGTTCTACACATTCTTTATTAAATTATTTTCTTAATATTTGGTGTATTAATTGGTCATTAAAAGATTTTTATAGCGTTTTACATAAGGAAGTTAATTAACAAAATACAAAGGATTCTCTTTATAATTTATCATAATATTAATTATTATAAATAATAATAAATTACCTATATATTATAATATTTAACACAATATTAATTTTTAATTTTAAAATTTAATATTTACATAACTTTTAATAATTTATCATTTAATATCAACTTTTTTATTTATTTCGCGACTAAGTCAACATATATACTGTACAACTGTTGTTATACATAACACTACAAATTTTTACCACATGCTATATATTCATTATGTAGAAGCAAAAACCCACTTCTTCAAAAAAAAATAATATTTATTTTCTTAATAATAAAAAAAAAATTAATAAATTATCATTTGCATAAAATACATTTGTATAACTTCCTTTTTTTTAATTGGACATAAAAAAAAAATAAAAACTTTTTTTTAATATACGTATTTTTAGTATACTAATTTTTCTTAAAATTCACAAACTCCACTGTGCATATTTCAATGTTCACGTTTTTCTGGCATACTGTTTTATTAATTATTCGTTCTGTGACTTCTGTAGTATTGAACAAACAAGTTAATAAAGAGAGTGTAGAGGAAACTTTACTAGACTAAATTTTAATTGAATTATGATTTTAATTTTAAATCTTTATTTTTATTAATAAGCATCAAATACTAATTAATATTTAACTACTTTTTAAGTTAATTTATACAATTCTTCAAAATGTAATTTCCTTAATATTACATTTTAACTTAAAAAAAAAATATATATATACACTCCACAGTAACTTGCACATCATCCAAAAGAAATAAATAAATAAAATTATTTTTTTCTTTTTAATATTACCCTTTTTTATATATATATATATTTTTTTTTTTTTGTGTATATACTCTTTGAGTAACTATGTTAAAGTAGGCATCTATGATTGCACATTGTATTCACAATTTATCATGCACATAATAAAATATTTTTATACCATTTATTCATCTAAATATTATACAAAAAAGGTATGTAATATTATTTACAGACCACATGAATAACTATTTATTTTCCATATAACTGCTACTTTTTATTCTCATAATAGTTAATAATACCTTTTGTTAACATTCTATAATAATTAGAAGCTCCTCTAAATGACCCTAATGTTTATTAAATTTAGGCTTCTCTGTATCAATAGTTTTTTTTTTACTATATAAAATGACAACCTAGCACCTTTTTTATATATCACTAGTCCTTGATTTATTAATTGGGTATTCGGTGACTTTGTGGTTAATAAAAGGCTTTAATAACCTTTTTGGAAAATAAACGGACTAGTTAAATGAAGAATACGAGGTTGGTCATGCACACACAAAAAAAAAAAAAAAATCAATTGTAAAAAGATTTGTTACCAATAAATAAAAAAAAAAAAAAAAAAAAAAGAATTTTTTTTTTGGGGGAATGAAATATGATTTTAATGAATTTTGTAAAAGAATATTTTATACATATAACAATAAAATTTTCATGTAATTAATATTTATATAATTTTTTGTATTGCCAATAATTGTTTATGTTTGTTAATTCAACATCGATATATATTAATTGCTGAATGTAACTCATAACAAATAAACAAGTAATTTACAATTAATTAATAATCAATATTCAATAAGGATTTACATTTTTAATAAAAACAAGGATTTTTATTAAAGTAAATAAATGCTTATTGAAATTAAAGAATGCTAATTGAAGTCGATTACATAATTAAGGATCACTCGCTCAAAGCATTTAAAAATATATATAAATACATCAAAACCGTACAGGCAACTCTACATGTTCTTTATTAATATGTTTGTTCAGTACTCTAGTAAAGTCATCGAACAAACGGTTAATAAACCAATTGGTGACAACGGCAGGAAAATCGAAACCAGCACACACAAAACCCTCATTGTATTAGCAGGTTTTTAACAATGGTTAAAGAAGAAGATAAGTTAGTATTAGATATGTTCAAAAGTATTATAACCATTAAAATGTCTTATATATTCAGAACAAATGGAGATTTGGAGAACACTAAAGTAAAGATACCAAAAGGATTATCAATATTGGAAGAGGCTTCGTTTGAAAAATAATCTAAATTGTTTGACAATCTTGAAAACAGAGATAAAATGAGAAAATTAACCAAAATTGACACATACATGATAATACAATTTTTATTACCAGCATCTTATTCAGGATGGATAACAGAATTGTATTGCAATGAGGAAATAACGAAATGTTACAGTTAAAGATAAAATTCTTTAAGAATACATTTAAAAATGGTGATGAGCGTATCAAACATAAGAGAAAACTATTATTTGTAGATAGGAGGAACAGTGTACTGGAAGCTATGAATTCATGCATTGAAGACTGTAAGGAATATGTGGATGGTTATTTATGTTTTGATGAACCAAACGGATATAATATTGACGATTTATGTAAATTTTTTAGATTGCGAATCCCATTTAATTTTTTACTAAAAGCACTTATTAAATTATCTAAGAATAAAGAATTTATGGATGTAATATCAACAATGTTCGCATTAGAAGACATGTGCACAGAAAAAAATAATCATAATAAGTTGGATTTAAGGGCAGTAAATAGATATAAGGATGGATATTAAGAAAGAGAAGACAGAATATTTGATAAATATTACAGTTGTAGAGAATAAGGCCATCTTAAAAAGGATTGTATACATAGGAAAAAAAGATGTAGTAATTGTAATATGATAGTACATTTGGCATCAGTATATAGGAATAAAATGACTCGAGATTAGGAAGATGAAATCAAAGGTATAATATCAGATAAAAGATATTATTTAAATTTTAAAATGATCAAAAATGAAAGTAATCCACAGAAAATCTGTCAAATGGGAAAATACCTTAATAAACAATTGGAACACCTGGAAAGACAAAAAGAAAAAGTAAAGGAAAGATATAAAGAGAATAAACCTAAAGGAAGTGATGAAGAGAAGGATAGAAAGAGGAATAGAATAAATAAGGTATTTGAGGAGAAAGAAATTGAAATAGAAAAGAAATCCGATGAAGGTATAACAGACTCAGCAGAAAGTGAATCATCTGTTAATAGGACCATAGAAATTGGAAGCGAAAAAGGACGATATATGAATGCTGAACAAATAGTAGAAATTAAAGGAAATAACGTCAATGTACTACTAGGTACAGGAGCAGATTTATGTACTGTATCAACGGTTTCAGCTAAAGAACTAAGTACAGAGCCAGATACCTCAATACAACCAATCTAGTTTTTTGGGATATATAGCGGAGACATTGCAATGAAATCTAAAATAGGTGAAAATATACATTAAATTTATCAATATAAATATAATAACCAGATTTGCTATGATAAAAACAAATAAACCCCTTTATTACTTAGTGGTTTAGTAATGGACCAATTAGGATATGCCATTATAAAAAAAAAAGATAGATAGATATATATATATATCATGGAAGTTAAATCTGAAAAAAAAAAAGATGGATTAGAGAATTCGAATAAAGAAATTATTCAGAATTTTATTGAAGGATATGACTTAAAAGATCAGGAAAATAAAGAAGAGTTGGAAAAAGTATTAAGAGATAATACAAAACTCTGGAAAAAAAAAATAATGGACTCCAACAACAAATACAAGGTTTCTATTCAGGTACAAGGGAAACCTTGGCGTTATAAGCCTAAACCATTGAGTAAAGAAATGTTATCAGAATTACATCGAAAAATAGATGTAATGATAAAATTAAAAGTAATAAGTAAGGTTATTAATGCAGATTGGACCTCACCAATAATAATGGTTCAGAAGAAAATAGGCCAATGGAGAGTCACGTTAGATTATAGGTATTTAAATAAATTTATAGTAGATGATTTATATATCATCCCACATATGAAGCACATATTTCAAACGTTTCATGGAGCGAAATGGTTTTCGAAAATAGATCTCAAAAATGGATTTTAGAATATCGCATTGGAGGAAAGTAGTAAACCATATACTGGATTTATAGTTCCTAAGAGGGGAACATTTGTATTTAACGTATTGCTATTTGGACTAAAAACAAGTCCTACACAATTTCAAAGAATAATGGAAAATATTTTTATGAAATTAATTCAGAGAATTATGTAGTTGTGTACATTGATGACATCATCATTCTTACAAAAACATTATTTGAACACTTAGAAATATTAAAACGAGTATTTGAATTACTCTGTAATAATAATTTAGGAATAAATACAGAAAAGTGTGAACTTTTAAAATCATCTGTAACTTATCTTGGTCAAGAGATAGATCGAAATGGTATAAGACCTTCATTAGATAAGGTGAAAACAATTATTGATACAGAGCGACCTAAATCTAAAAAGCAATTAGGATCATTCTTAGGATCTGCTAATTATTACAGGAATTATATTAAGATTTTTTCAGAGTGGACTTCTAAACTAGTTTCATTGTTAACTAAGAAACACAAATTTGAATGGAAATAAGAGCATTTAAAGGCTTTTGAGCAAATCAATAAAAAAATCACCGAAATTACTTATCTTTCATTTCCAGAATTAGGAAAACACTATACTATTTATACTGACGCATCAGATTATGCTATAGAAACTGTATTGACTCAAATTGATAAGGACACAGATCAAACTAAATTCATTTATTACACATCGAAGAAATTAAATGAAGTACAACAAAGATGGAGTACGGTTGAAAAATAATTATTTGCTATAGTAGTAGCATGCGAAACATTCGATTATTATATTAAAGGATCTAAGATCTTAGTTAAAACATATTGTAAAGGTATTATTTGGAATGGATTTAATTAATACTGGAAAACTATATCGATGGAAGTTAAGACTATCTTAAATTAACTTAGAATTTGAACATATTGAAGGAGTTCAAAACAGTTTAGCTGATTGGATCACTATATAAATAGAAGATGAAACAGATATTCCTAATTACATGACCTTATATTGTAGTAAACCTCAAGAATTNAATATTGACCTCTTCATTAATACACAAATAATTTAAAAAAAAAAATAAATTAGTACTTAAGTAGTATATTTTTCTTATATGGAATTATTAATTATGCTAAACTTAATTTAAGCATTTTCATAAAAATAAATTGACTTCCTCACTAATTATTTACTTAGATTTAATTAATTAAAATTTTACTTGTTTTCCTCCATTCATATTATCACCACTATGATGTTCATTAATTAATGTATCATTCTTGTTTTGATAAGAGTGAAATGTTTCTTCTTTATCAACATCATTTTTCATTTTTTTATCTTGTTTTCCATGTTCTTCTGTTTCTTCACTGATTTCTTGTTTTTCTCCATCGATATTACCATCAGTTTGATATTTATTAGTTACTGTATCATTATTATTTTGATCAAAATGAAATATTTCTTCTTCTTTATCATCATCATTGTTCATTTTTTTATCATGTTTTCCATTTTCTCTTATTATTTTATCGATTTCTTGTTTTCCATGTTCTTTTGTTTCTTCATTGATTTTTTGTTTTCCTCCATTCATATTATCACCACTATGATGTTCATTAATTAATGTATCATTCTTGTTTTGATAAGAGTGAAATGTTTCTTCTTTATCAACATCATTTTTCATTTTTTTATCTTGTTTTCCATGTTCTTCTGTTTCTTCACTGATTTCTTGTTTTTCTCCATTCATATTATCACCACTTTGCTGTTCATAAGTTAATTTATCATTCTTGTTTTGATCAGAATGAAATGTTTCTTCTTTATCATCATTATTCATTTTATTATCTTGTTTTCCATGTTCTTCTGTTTCTTCACTGATTTCTTGTTTTTCTCCATCGATATTACCATCAGTTTGATGTTTATTAGTTAATGTACCATTATTATTTTGATCAGAATGAAATATTTCTTCTTCTTTAACATCATCATTTTTCATTTTTTTATCATGTTTTCCATGTTCTTCTGTTTCTTCACTAATTTCTTGTTTTCCATGTTCTTTTGTTTCTTCATTGATTTTTTGTTTTCCTCCATCGATATTATCATAAGTTTGATGTTCATAAGTTAACTTATCATTCTTGTTTTGATCCGAATGAAATGTTTCTTCTTTATCATCATTATTCATTTTATTATCTTGTTTTCCATGTTGGATCTGCTAATTATTACAGGAATTATATTAAGATTTTTTCAGAGTGGACTTCTAAACTAGTTTCATTGTTAACTAAGAAACACAAATTTGAATGGAAATAAGAGCATTTAAAGGCTTTTGAGCAAATCAATAAAAAAATCACCGAAATTACTTATCTTTCATTTCCAGAATTAGGAAAACACTATACTATTTATACTGACGCATCAGATTATGCTATAGAAACTGTATTGACTCAAATTGATAAGGACACAGATCAAACTAAATTCATTTATTACACATCGAAGAAATTAAATGAAGTACAACAAAGATGGAGTACGGTTGAAAAATAATTATTTGCTATAGTAGTAGCATGCGAAACATTCGATTATTATATTAAAGGATCTAAGATCTTAGTTAAAACATATTGTAAAGGTATTATTTGGAATGGATTTAATTAATACTGGAAAACTATATCGATGGAAGTTAAGACTATCTTAAATTAACTTAGAATTTGAACATATTGAAGGAGTTCAAAACAGTTTAGCTGATTGGATCACTATATAAATAGAAGATGAAACAGATATTCCTAATTACATGACCTTATATTGTAGTAAACCTCAAGAATTTTACGAAGATTCATACGTGATACCTTCTTGCGAGGAAATAGCAAATAAAACAAGAAATGATAAAGATAACATACCGAGAGACCTAGTATGGAAGGAAGATTTCCCAGTTCACTATAGAACAGGAGGATTATATATATTAGAAAAAAATAGAAATCATTTAATGTATTGGTTTCATAGTAGTAAATTCGCAAGACATTGTGGAGTGAATAAAACACTAAAGAAAATACAAAAACATTTTTGCTGGCCTAATATTAGTAAAGATATTGAAGAATACGTTACAAATTGTTTAGTTTGTCAAATAATGCGTAATCGGAAATTTAAACCTAAAAATAATCAAGCTTTATCAAAACCGAATGTGTATGATATGGTTTCATTAGATATTATAGGACCTAAAACATGGAAAGGTACATAGTATTATATACAAGTAGAAGTAGATCATCATTCACGTTTTATGGTCACTAATATAACAAAAAAAACACCTAAAGTTACGGACGTAATTAACGTTATAAAAAAAACATGGATACCCATATTTGGATGCCCTATAAGCCTTTTAACAGATTGTGGTTCAATTTATACTAGTCGAGAATTTCATCACTATGTTACAAAAGAATTACTGGTTAAATTGTATCATACCAGCCCATATTAGCCACAAGGAAACGGTATATATGAAAGCTCTCATAAAAGCTTAGATTATATCATTAAGACTTTATACGAAGAAAAACATCTACCTTTTGAAGAAATAGTACAAAATGCAGTACTAATATATAATAATAAATCTCATGGAGCTATAGAAGAAACACCCTATTTTGCTATGTTTCGAATAGATTGTATCTGTCTAGGGTTTGCAAAATTAGTACCGGAAACAACTTCTGAAATGAGGATTATATACTTAAACGATTGATGGAAAAACATACATGAATACGATAATGAAATCAAAAGAAAACCTATAATTGAGTATAAAAATATTAAGGTTGGAGATATTGTTTCATACGAATTATCGGAATACGAAAGAAATGAAATGAAACGCTATAGTAGAAATGCACAATATAAACCATATTTGTCATTTCCTCATAGAGTAACTAAAATTGAAAGAAGAATTCCGAAAGCATTACCTATATATTATAGTGGTAAAGAAATACAAATTCCAATGCCAAAAATAAAATTGTTGAGTAACAAAACCAGGGAAATATATGAAAGACAACTGCACAATTTAATACAAGTTACAAATAAGAATAAAAGGAAATTAAATCTGACGCATGATTTAAAGTCTAAGGATTACCTATATAGTCATAAACGGAGTAGTATCATAATGTGTGATATCAACGATAATCAGGACAAGCAAATTGAAAAAGGAGTACAAAAAGGAATTCATGTAATAAAACAATACAAAAATAACAAACTTTAAGTAATAACAATTGCTTTCCTATGGTGGTGGAGTATGGTTAATAAAAGGCTTTATTAACCTTTTTGGAAAATAAAAGGATTAGTTAAATGAAGAATACGAAGCTTGTCATACACACACAGACAAAAAAAAATTGATGATTTTTTTTTTCTTTGTTTTTTTTTTAAAAAAAAAGTACAAAACTGTTAGGAAAAATTTTGATAAAAAAAAAAAAGCAAAGATCGTCAGGAAAAAAAATTGATTCAAATATCAATTAGAAAAATATTTGTTGCCAATAAATAAATATAAAAAAAAAAAAAAAAGAAAAAAAAAGATTTTTTCTTTTGGGAATGAATTATGATTTTAATGAATTTTGTAAGAGAAAGTTTTATACATATAACAATAAAATTTTCATGTAATTAATATTTGTATAATTTTTGATATTTGTAAATAATTGTTAATGTTTGTTAATTCAACAGCAATATATATTAATTGCTGAGTGTAACTCATAATAAATAAACTAGTAATTTACAATTAATTAATAATTAATGTTCAATAAGTATTTAAATTTTTAACAAAAATAAAGATTTTTATTAAAGTAAATAAATGCCTATTGAAATTAAAGAATGGTGAATGAAGTAGATTACGTAAATAAGGATCACTCATTCAAAGCATATAAAATATATACAAATATATCAAAACCGTAGAGGCAACTCTACTTGCTCTTTATTAATTTGTTTGTTCAGTAATCTAATAAAGTCACCGAACACCCAGTTAATAAAACATGCACAAATGTATAATAAATAAAAATAAAATTGTTTACTTTAAAATAAATAATCTTAAAAGTAAACACTAAATATATACCGAAAACCAGAATTTAATAAATCCATACTGAACAAAAATAATTACAAAAAATTTAAATCAACAAACAACCAATAACTAAAATCATAATAAATTTATATCCTTTAAACATAACATTCACCCTTTTCCTCACAACATGCATATTCAAAATAAATATTATAAAATTGAACAATAAAATTTTTATAAAATATATACCATGTCATAATATTCATACAGTCAACTTATCTTTTACTTTCTCTTTATTTTTAATATACTTATTTAATTATTAATCGTAATATCAACTTAATAATATAAATAAATAAAAATAATAAAAATTATAAAAAATTTTAAATAATTATTAAATTTTTAATAATTAAAATCTATAAATATAATTACAATTATAAATATTCATAAAAAAATATGTTTCATCTTTAATATTCCCTTAAAAAAAATAATAATCCTTCATAAAAATCAAATAAAATACTAATAAAAATAAAATAAATTTATTTTTCTCATGGATTTTTTCTGTAAATTATTTATTGTAATTTATCTTGTAAGAGCATATATATATAAAAAAAAAAATAAATAATTGAATAAAATAATAAATTTTATATTTATTTATTTTTTTTTATTTTTTTTTTATAAAGAAAAATCAATCAGTCCCTTAAATTCGATTCATATTTTCACTTATTTTTCTTTTTCGATATAAATATCTTTTTTCTAAAAAATTTTTGTTCGTAAACTATTGTTATTATAATCTTCTAAAAAGATTATGAGAAATAATTGTAAAAAAAATGACCAAAAAATAATTTATGTTTCTTTTTGTTTATAATAAAAAATCCTAAAATAATAAAAAATATTTCCTTAAATAATGTTAGATATATATATATATATATATATATGTATATTACCAAATAAAAATTAATAAAAAAATAAATAGTTTAATATAATTTTAACTAAAAAAATAAAGTGCATTACCCACTAATATAAACTAATTTTTTTTTTTTTTTTAATTATATATTTCTATACAAATAAAACTAAATTATAGTGCACTTATTTGTCATTAAAAACTTAAATATTAAAATAAAGAAAATTAGAGTAGTTTGAACAATGTTTAAAATTTAATAATTTAACAACAAATAATGTAGCTTCTCATAATTGTAAATATTTCTTCTATTAAATCTAATATAATTTATTTATTAAAATATATATAAATAGCTAAAATAGTATATTGTAGTTGCTGATTTTAGAATTTATATATATTTATTTTATTTATTTTTTTTTTACTTATTTTACATTTTATGAAAGTATCAATTAGATCCTTTAAAAAAATAATTATAAATTATTAAGTACATTATTTTATTTATATATAAATTCCATATACTACTTATAAAATTTTACTTCTTCAAACGTTCAAAATTTCATTTTCAAAAAAATTTTCTATAAAAATATTATATAATAATTAAATTTTTTATTCAAAATATCAAAGTTAAATAATTGTATCATTATTTCAAAT